GTGAGTTCCGCATATGTGGGAACAACTTACAAGAGTGGTACAAATTGCCGCCATGTTGTTATGTGGTTTTTTTTTACATAAATATGTAAACATAGATGTGCTGATTTATTTAGAAGGGTGATGTAAGATATTGCCTGTTTTCAGTTCCCTGAATTTCGTTGTTGATTTTTATATTTTTGTTTGTTTGGGTGATTGGTTGGTCGGAGGGGTAGACTTCAGAGAAGTATCTACTCTCTTGTTGCTTAGCAACCTCAGCTGCCCTAGTGGCAAGAGGTTTGGGGAATTCATACATGACTCTGCCCTATGCTGCTGAGTGATGTGAGGTGCTGTGATGAAGATATTAAAATAATCCTTCTATTTTCTGTAATACATGTCATAAAATAACACAGATAATATTTCCACCAATCCCATAACGTACTTTATACTTTTATAGAGAGAATGTTTTATCCTCCCTTTCTAGTTTACCGACTGACTTGTTTATTTCTTATGTCACCATCATTACAAAAGACTCCCAGAAGCTGCTTAGATTTTGGTCTTTCCATTCATCAAACATTCAGTGCAGAACTTAGGCCAACTGAATTGCATTTGAATCAGAGTCTGGAAAAGTAATTTTTCCAAATCCTGATTGGAGTTAAGTAAGTGAAAACAGTATGTAATCTTTCAGTAGACAGGAGCAGGTCTTCCAAGAGATAAGGAAGGCACCATTACCAACCAGGTGACCCATTATCAGAAGCTCTGTTTCTGGTCAGGTTTCTATAGAAATGTGATTTATAAAGCCTGGATATAGCAAAAGCTGAAGAGTCACAGATACAGCACTGCATGGCAACACACAATGTGTATTGACTTTATGCTGGTGCAGGTTTGTTGGTGACTAATCTCTGTTGATTTCAGCTCTCAACTCAACTCAACTCAACTAGCTAAAGAAACTGAAATGATCAAACCGAGGCTATCATATCTTGGACATATCATGAGAAGACTTGCTGGAAAAGACAACTATTCTAGGAAAAGTGGAAGGCTATAGGAAAAGAGGAAATATAACATGAGATTGATTGACTAGAGAAAGGAAGCCACAAACTTTAGTTTGCAAGACCTGAGCAGGTTCATTCATGACAGGTTCTTTTAATAGCTCAGAAGCTCATATGCTTACAGACGTAAGAAGCACGTAACACTACATATCTTTGTTGGCTTGGGGTGCAATCTTAAGTAGTTAGGCTGGCTGTAGGCTGGCTGAGCCCACTTTAGGCCACTTGAGAATACTTGTATCCAATGCCCTCCTAGTTCAGTAGGGGAAGAACTTCAGTTGGCCTAAGGAGAAAATAGCAAGGGAGAATTTAAAAAAAACCCAAACTATCAACTACAACAAATTAGATGCAATCACCATGGAAACTGTGCTGATAGCTACCAATCATCAGCTCACAGCCAGTACAGTCCTAAACTCCACCCAGCAGCACATCTGGCCAATGAGACCCAGACATCCAGTAGAGGAGGCAAACACAACTGCACAATTAAAGGGGAAAGGGCAGTTAAAGGCACAGTGTGATAATTCATCCAAATACAAACCCCTTCTGCAGCTGGCATGAAACTCATTGCAGCACTAGTTTGAACCCTCCGTGCCCAGAAGTTTAAGACTCTCCTGGCATGCCTGGTGCAGAGGGGTTATACACCACTCCACAGTGCTTAACACGCTCTCTGGGCAGCTCACAGTTTTAATGATGTAGGCTTCATATTGCCCTCCTCCTCTGCGAGCAGAGTTTTCACCGGAGTACTGCAGTTTAACCACAACACCAGAAGGTTCTCAGTCTGTGAGAACCATAGCAGACAGCCAAAGAAGAGATCTGTTTATTGATCAGCAGACCAGAATGTAGAGGAAAACCCAGAAAAGAGGAAACACAGATCAGGATGCCAAGGAGAGCACATCAGGGGAAAATGCACCCATCTCCAGAATCTTACAATGAGACTTACATTGCTAATGCCTCCAGAGAAAGTCTGAGATGGCACTAAAGGAAAGAGAAGAAGGCAGGTACGTCTCCAAATGAAAAAGGAGCTGCCATGCGGTGGCTAGATGGAAAAAGCAGAACACACAGTGAGGACATGGTGCTGATGATGGGAGGGGGCTTTTAGGTTGATTCTTCGTTGTCCCCTTACCCCTGCTTTTTTGGCATAGCTCAGAACATGAACAGGGGAAAATGAAATGAAAGAACTTGAAATAGCCTGTTCCTTCCATGTTTAACTAAAGGATTGGCACACAAAAATCAACAAAATGAAAGAGCCCCCTCCTTAAGGAATCCAAAGTGGAACAAACACAAAAGTTTGAACCATGAATATCTCTAGTGCAGGAGAGGCCATAATGTCCCCATTCAGTACAGAGCACTGCATATCTTGTTTCCTGTCCCTTTTTCTTAGAGTTGCCAAATTGAAAAGAAGGGGCATTGGTTAAAAAGGGCAAAAAAGATAGAGAGACACTTTCCTCTTTTTCCTCTCTTTCCTTTTTATTTCCAGTTCACATTAGATCATGCAAAGAAAAATCATCACTAATAAAAGAGAAGAAAAAGGATACATGAAAAACTGGAGGGGGGGGGGAAACAGGGAGCAACAACCCCAAGTATCTCTCCTTTCACTTTTCCAAGAGGGAACATCAACCTATTCTAATGCAATATTTTTTTCCAGAGATGTGAAAAATAAAATAACTAAAACAATGTGACTGAATGTCAGTGTTTGCACAGCAGTCACAACTAGCCCTTTCCACTGTGGTGGATGAGTGGAATGTCAGAAAAATTGTCAGAGTAAAAGAAGCAAGACTATTAGAAAGAGCCCAGTCTTTGCATGCATACTTTTGTCTATATCTATAAGAAGCCTCTTTCTGAAGCAGAATTACACTTCCAATTGGGTAAAAATAATAAATGCAAACTCTCACCACTCAAGGATAAAGCCAATTGACTTGCTGTACTGGGGAGGGGGTTGCTGGTTGCACAAGCGTTACTTTACATTCAAAGTAACCTTGTTCCTTGGGTATTTTAGTCAAGTTATGCCAGCTGCCAGCATGGAATACAGAATACTGAAAAATATGTTGAGACAGATGTGCAGGCATCTTCTCTTCCAATGCCTCCTTGTTATTTAAAGTAATGAGAACATTAGCAAGGACGCTGATAACATCATTAATTTTAATAATTCTGCACCTACTATATTTTAATAGACATATTGTACTCAGTTTATAATACAGGTACATTAAATTATTCCTTGGAAGGGCCTGACTGTAGAGATTTAGCTTTCATGGTGAATTTCAGAAAAGCTGTGTTAGTCTTGGGTTGAAAATATAGCAAAGGATCCAGAAGCACCTTAAAGCAATGAGTGCTGGCAATGTCAACCGACAAAGCGTACTCTATATCTTGGATACTTCTAAACCCAAGAACATATTTGAAATCTCTCCAGCATAAGCATCATCAGCCTCTAGTGCAATGTTTTCCAACCTTGGGTCCCCAGATGTTCTCAGACTACATCTTCCAGAAATCCTGGCCACCATAGCTTGTGACAAAAACTTCTGGGAGTTTTAGTCCAAGAACATCTGGGAAGCCAAGGTTGGAAAACACTGTTCTAATGCATTAAAAACTAAAAAATCATTATAGCAAAAGGACTTGTATTATCAATTTCTATGTGGTCTACTCCATTCTCAGCCATGCCGATCTTACGAGAAGCTACTCTCAGAAAGGCATTTACTGAAGGGAATATGTGGCCTATAGGGTTGTTTTTGCCAATCTCTGCCCATCAGATTCTTCCACCGTGCTGGTCAAGAAGAAAATTCCCTAGATTTAGGGGAAATTACTTCTTCTGCAAGCCTCTAGGATCAACTATTCACCTTTTAAAGAGGTTATAGCCCCATGCCTGCAATGTCTAATGCAAAGATTACCCTCATTTCAAAACCAGAACTGGATTTCCCTAGCATGCAGCATGTTCTTGCTTCCAATCACTGTTATTCTGTGCTTGGCCTCAGCTAGAATGGCCATGGCTCTCAGCTTTTCCCACACAGAAAGCTTGTCCACTGTCTCCCTGATGTTTGATGTATACAGTATTTGATACATAAATTCATCCTTTATTTTTTTTAAAAAATTATTTTTTATTCATTTTCAATAGGGGTAGGATTTGGGGCTAGGGGGCTGGGGGAGTGGAAATGGGTAGGGGAAGGATAAAATTCCAGAGAATGTGGGAGTACTTTTACATCCACTAATACAATTCTTCTATAATAAAAAATATCAAAAAAGAACAACAGGTTTTATCAGAATTACTATAGTTACAAATCACTTCATTCCCTGATTGGACATTCGAATTCTTCTTTTATCTATGCTTTCCAGTCCATAAAAATTCTAGTCCATTTATAAAATCATTCAAAATTTTTGCATCCTTTTAAAGATAACTGTGTTTCTGTTTTCTTCCAATGTTTCCCATATTATGACTACAGTAATTATGTGTATTATCAATTGTTTCATTTCTTTATCTAAAATCTCAGATGTGGTACTCAATTAACACAATTCCAGTTTAAATGATATTTCACAAAATACAATTTTTCTTCAACATTTCATATACTAATCTGCAATAATCTCCAATAATTTTCTTCTCCCCTATCTGTCCACCTCATATGACTGAAAGTACCCTCCTGTATTTTATATTTCCAACACTTAGGGTGTTGCAGGACAGATAGTGTCTGTGACGTTCACCCCGTGGCCCCTGCTTGTTTCACCAAAAACAGGACTCACACGAGTATCATGCTCTTTAACATGCTGCCGCCAGTTGTTTTCTCCTCTCTGTCTCTCACTGAACTCCCCAGACTCTGACTCGCCCCTCCCTTCTAGTTTTTCTGGCTCCGTCTCCTAACAGCTTACATGTCAATAATCTTCTACCTGAGCCAAAGCAGGGTGATCACTACATACCTCTCCCCCTAAGAAGTTTGTTCTATGAGGGGAAACTCAGCAGTTTGCCCTCATAAACAAACAGCTAAGTATATGGACATATAACAACTTACCAATACTTATACATACTTGCCATATGGGCTTCTACCAAGTAATACATTTACTATTTAAACTTACCACATTATATTGTCCTGAAAACCATACATTTATAAGCATTTTCTCTAGATTAAATCATGCATTACAGATAAAAACATAAACATTTACATTGGGTCTTCTGGACAAAGCATCTGCTACCACATTTTAAGATCCTTTGATGTTTTCAATTTTAAAGTGATAATTTTGGAGAATTAAGGACCATCTGGTCAGTTTGCTACTGTTCATCTGCAAAGTTCTCAAGCATTTCAAAGATTAGTGGTCAGTGCACAGGGCAAACTTTCTTTTCCATCTGTATGGCTTATGTTTCTTACAGGTCCATACGATAGACAGGAATGCCCTCTTGATGGCAGACAAATATCTCTCATGAGGTTGAAGTCTTCTGCTGGTAAAAGTCACAGGGCGTAGACTCTCACTGTCATTCACTTGGCACAGTCCAGCTTTAAGTCCAATGCTCAATGCACCCACACAGCTGGGGAATTGCTGATTTGAGTTTGGCGCAACAAAGACTGGTTTTGAAGTCCGCACTTTCTTCCGACGATCAACAGTCACCTGGCACTCTGACGTCCAATGGATTTCCTCTGCTCGCCTTTTCCAGGTGAAGCCTGCTTTCTTTCTGGCTCGTGGCTTCGCTTTCCCAGCTGGGGAAAGGGTAGGCAGTTTCTTCCCCTCCTCCAGACCATCTACGGCTCCATTCTTCTTTGTGATCTTATTGCTCTTGCTTTCATCCTCACACACAAACTTGCCCACAGGCACTTTAGTTGCAATAGGTGGGGAACCACTATCACGGGTCAACTCAAGATTCCTATGCAAATTTCTTTTAGATGAAATCTCAGGCACTTGGTTTATGTCCGAGGTGTCAAGGCTTTCATAATCTGGCCCTAGCCTTTTAATTGCTAGTTTCTCCTGTAGGGCTTTGCCTCACAAGATTTTCAGTGCCTTTTACAGCTGCATGAGGAGCCTTCCCAGTACTCGTCCCTTCAGCTTTCCAGTACTGTTGTGGCACATCTACAGGTCCTGACCATGCTAACTGCAATTCACTCTCCTTTATGGGTCTCAGCATCGCCACTACGTCCTCGGGACAGAATGCTCTTTCCCAGGTCTTTCATCACACCAACCCCTATACTTTTCATGAGCATTCCTCAAGTTTTGCTCTGGTATTACTAAGGACTTTTGCAGATCCACACATTGGCAAGGGGTTGAGATCCCTGGCAATAAGCATAGTTTAGCCTTTGTCTTGTCATTCCCAAAACCACTCATTTGGCACATACGACATGTCTGACAAAACTGCTTAACTTGCTGACCCATTCCTGGCCAGTAAAAAAAAATTGTGCAACTCTTTGTTTAGTATGCGATATTCCCATGTGAACTCCAAAAGCATCACTATGCACCTTCTGTAAGATCTTGCCTCTATGCTTTTCAGGTACAATAAGTTGTTTAAGGCTTCCATCTCCACCCCTCTGTGGTGCTAACAAAATCTCCCTGTATAACAGATTGTTATCTATTATATATCTCTTTGGGCATTCAGGCGATAATGAAGAGGGAGTTCCCTTAGCTTTCTCAAAGCACTGCATAAGGTTGGTATCCTCCTTCTGTTCCTTATTAAATGATGAATTAGGGTTTTACATGACTATAACTTCTTCCATTTCATCCACGTCAGAGTTTTCCTTTAAACTGTGGCCTTCCAGGATACTTTCAAGAGTTAGGGAATCCATTTTTCCCTCAGGGATTGTTAACTGCTCTCCCTGGGAAGTGTTACTACAAAAGCACTCTGCACATGCTTAGTGAGATCTAATCCAATCAAACAAGGTGTGGGTATTCGATCAGAAATTGCTACATCCCAAATTCCAACCCAGTCTCTATAGTTTATCTTTACTTTAGCCATAGGTAAAATCACTGGCATAGAACTTATTCCCTTGATGGTAACAGTGCGATTTTGAAGTATTTGTTCTTTAGGGACCACATCAGGATGACCCAGGGATATATGAGAACATGAATCAACAATTCCAACATAAGATGTCTCATTAATATGAATTTTCTCTTCAGAGTTCTGTAGTAAAGTATAATCTGCCTTTATAAGAAAGCACTGAACAACTCTGGCTTGTGGCAGATGAGAATTTTCTGTTGTACTAGTTGCCATGGAGACAGAACCATTGTTACAGTATCCTTCAGTGCCTTCTGTGATGAATTTGGCTATGAAGCCAGAAAGTGATTTATTGATGGGATTTGTAGTATTGAAGTTAGCCTAAAAGAATCCATTTTGGTCTCTGTGTGCTTGAAAGTTGAAAATTCCAAAAGGCAGTTTTGCTTCACAGAAATTGGTCAGGCTGACCTGTTATCTCGTTACCTAGTAACGGTGGCCTGGTGCAGAGAGAGAGCAAAGACATAACATTCCAGGAGCTTAGAATGATAACAACTTGAGTTCTCATGAGAAGATGGGGTGGGACAAGTTACTTTTTTCCTCACCCCTGATTGGTTGTTAGCGGTGAAGAAGAAGGCGGGAGTAAGTTGCAGAAAGGGAGAGAAAGTGAACATGGATGACGATTGAAAGACACAGAAGGGACTTATTTCTGTTTGATGGATTTTAGCAGAGGATTTTCTCTATTGGACTGATGGATCTTGGATTTTCCAGAGGATTGGTATGTTCTTGATTGGACTATGGACAATGGGATTTACAGTATTATTTTAAGATGTAGATTTCTGCTTAATTTAGAGGGGAAGCTTGCCTTTCCCAATTTTATTAGTTAGAAAGTTTGTTATGTTGTTTCTTCTAGAGGAGTCCAGTTTCTTGTCTAACTGGATGAGATGGAAATGTACATAGATGCCTTGCTTTGCACAAACTTTATTCTTTCAGAACTTTATTTTTCTAATAAAACCAAATATGTTGAAGGTCTGGAGTTTGGCTTCTTGAATAGAACAAATGCTACAATTGGTTACTTGGTTTACCTAAATGGTTGTTCTTTACAAGGCCACAGAAGAGAAACGTTACCTTGGGTCCAGAATATTCTTGGGTACTAGGAGAATTAGATTCACTAAAACTCACGTGTATATCTTGGTTCTCAAAGAAATCGGGTCGGACTTGGTGCATGAGTTAAAGGACTGCCCTAGGGTAAAATTGTTGGACCCGTTTTTGCCTGTTAAAGGAATCATTCACTCAGAATCCTCTCTGTCCCGTAGCAGAACAGTTTCTTAGGAAACTGGCTTTGCTCACACCTTCCACTGGTTTTATATAGTAAACCTTTTTGGTCTATCATCTTTTCCAATTTTACATTGGTTAAAATCCCTATTCTTTTGAATCTCACACTGAGCCCAAAAATTACTTTTCTCTCCACATGCATAACATTGTCTACTGGCCTTAGGGTCAAAACGAAGGGCCATATTAACTTTTCCCTCCGAGTTATTATGTTTCAGGTGACTCTGCTCTGTGAATGAGAGTTTGTTTTTAAAATGGCTTCCAGTAGTTTGGGTACTTCTGAGGTAGTCTCTACTGGGTGGGGGCCCTCTCCTGCTGTCATCCCACACTTTTCTACCAATTTTGCCTCAGAAAATCGAGGCTATCTAATCTCACTGATGGAATCATCGTATTTAGACACTTGTAATACATTTCCAGGATTTTTGTCTTTGGCCAAACAATGCAATTCCCCTGGGAAAATGGAATAAAAATGTTCTAACCAACCACATTTTTCATTTGGTCTAGAGAAGTGACATTTTTACATTCCATCCATTTGTCCAAACAATGAATCAATTTAGCCCCCACTGGGGCATAAGATTCTTCAGGCTTTTTGGTAAGGGAATGAAATTTGCTTCTAAGGCAGAGGTCATCAACGACCGGTCCCCGACCCGGTAGTAGTCCGTTGCCTGAGGCCGACCGGGCCATGAAGCCAGACCTCCGACCCCACCCCCTGCATACACTCACCCCTGCAAACGCTGTTTGAGACTGTGCGCGCACTCATGCGCATGCACGAACGGCAGCGCGGGGCTTGTGCAGGCGAGAGACAGAATGGTCTGCTGGAAATTTGAAAGTCCCAAAACAAAAAGACACCGCTTTTCTTCTCCTCCTCTTTGAATGAGGGAGCATTGTTAGTGGGTGGGGACTCGTTTGGCGGGGAGGGAGAACAAGCGGCGGCCTTTCTTTGTGAGGAAGGAATGTGGGAGGATGAGCCAGCCCTTCCCTTACTCCCCAAACTGAGGACACTCAAGGTGAACGAGAAGGGGGAAGCACAAGGGGGGGCAGGCTCGTAGTCCCTGCTATTGTGTTGGAGCCGAAGAGGGGCTGAGATTCTCCCTTGTTCCTGAAGTCAGACACTCCCTCCCTCTTTCTTCCCAGCCATCTGAATCTTCCCCTCAGCTGCTGCTCGCTTCTTCCCCCCCCAGCCATGGCCCGTTTCCTGCTGGTTCTTGTCGGGGCTCCCTTACCAAATGCCTCCAGGGTTGTCAGCCTGTTAGGATATACAGTCATTGTGCTTATTTGTTGCTGTTGTTTAGTCATTAAATGGACCACAGCACGCCAATTTCTGCTCATACTTTTCATCAAAAAGCCTGGTATGTCTAGGAGCGGAGAGCCAAGGGTGGGGGCTCCCTTACCAAATGCCTCCAGGGTTGTCAGCCTGTTAGGATATACAGTCATTGTGCTTATTTGTTGCTGTTGTTTAGTCATTAAATGGACCACAGCACGCCAATTTCTGCTCATACTTTTCATCAAAAAGCCTGGTATGTCTAGGAGCGGAGAGCCAAGGAGCCTCACCAGCAAAGCTGGTGGAGCCTTAGGAAAAGATAAACTTTTCAGCAGCTTAATCTTTGCTGGAGGCACAGAAAGCTGGGGGGGAGGGGGAGAGAACTAGCATAACAAAGGTGGCAATTCCAGCCTCTTTTCTCCTCTCTTTAAGCATCTTTCCTATTTTAACAGCAAGTTCTTATTTCCTTAAGACACCAATCCTCTGGGTCTT